GTACGTCAATGTCATGTGGTCAATGTACGTGCGTGAGGCATGGGCTCCGTACTGTATACTGTACGTGAACGTGTACGTGCATTGTTCTTCGCGCGCGCGTGCGTACACGCGTGCGTGTCCGCCTGTGCGGTGATGCGCCCCAAGCTGTTTTAACAAGCTGTTTATATGGATCTCAACATGGCAGGTCACTTTCACCGGCATCTTCGTCCGGTGCGTGTGTAATGTGTATAGGGGAGGGGGTGTCTCGTGAGGAAACTGCAGTTTATACACATCAGGGGTTAATAATGACAAATTATTATTTATTATTATTATTTATATTTGTCACTATTAACTCCTGTACACATGTGTACGCACCGCTCGCCCCTCATCCCCGCGCGTGTCCCAGCTGTGCCTTTCCGCCGAGTTAACCTCCTGATAGGCGCGCGCGTTGAGGCCGAGTGGTTGACCACCTGCGGTCGATAATGACGTCTCCTCCCCGAGTTGGAAGAATACAGAGGACGTTCACATAGCGAGAGGATCGCGGCCTTCAACCCACGACATTTACGTGCATATAGTCCATATGCATGCCATAGTGTACGATAATGCCGCGGTATACTCACGCACGCATGCCCCCAAGACACATTCTCAGAAATAACTATATAGTGTAACTATTAAGTTAACTCTCCACTACCTCTCTGCATCTTTCGCTAGCCCATCTCTCAGTCTCTCTCCCCATGCTCTCACCGCTCTCTTTTGCGCTCTCTTTTGTACTCGTCTGCCGTTATTTCGGTTTTCCCCTGAGTTCTCTGTATCATTTCTTCTTCCATCCACCCGTAATTTCCATTCCTTCGTAACACAATCTCTTACAGAAATTAATCTCATCAGTTGATTTTCTAATTGCATGCGATGATCAGAAACCGGTAATGATCTGTGATGATAATTATAATTGATCTTTGAACCCTGCTGCAACCGTGTGGAGAGTTAGTAAGCTTCCACTAGCTTATCCCAGCCCGCGCGTACTATATAATACTCTACCTGTAACGAGGGAAATCCGGGCGCAATTAGTCTAGCAGTATACTCATCAATTAAAGTCGGCGGTTATCATCTGGGGAGCCCGTGGAAGAAGCCGCGTGGCGCAGCCTCTCTTAAGAGATTACTTTAATAATTAGAAATCGTAGCAGGTTGCAAATCACGTGACTGCGTGAGCGTGCAATGACGTGGGAGACGAGGGAAGCGTTCAGCTGCCGTCATGAATTCAATCTTGTTTACTTTGGCTGATAATTATGATGATGAATATTGCGTGCATGGATGCTTCGGTAGTTGCGCGCGCGCGTGTGTGATGGCGAGGAGTGTCGCTCACGGGACTACAGTATGCGTGGCCCATGGTGGGCGATACTTGTACACGCATGTGCGCATACTTGTGCCAATATAGACACACCGAGCACGAGAGCATATATGTATAAGCCCCAGTCGAGCTCTTCTGTTTGAATTCATTAAGTCGCCTGTGTAATTAATTAAACGTCCCCTTTCTCTGCTACAAAGCTCCTTCTTCGCAGCTGCTTCTGCGGTGGCATGCGGCTTATCTAACCGACTGCCGTCTTGTTTTTGCTTTAGAACTTCTTCCTCTTCTCCTGTGCTTCTTTACTCTCTATCTCTCTCTCTCTCTCTCTCTTTCTCTCTCTCTCTCTCTCTCTCTCTCTCTCTCTCTCT